GGACTTAACCACTTGCGCCACCGCGCCGGGCCCTCTCTCTCTTTTTAAAGCTTTATTCATTTTTTATTAGAAAGTCTATTTACAGAGAGAAGGATAGACATAGAGAGAGAGAGAGACAGACAGACAGACCTTCCATATTCTGGTTCATCCCTAAATGATCTCAATGGTTAGAGCTGAGCCAATTCAAAGCCAGGATGCAGGAATCTATTCTGGGTCATCCATGTTGGTTTAGGGTCCTAGGACTTGGGCCATCCTCTGCTGCTTTCCCAGGCCACAAGCAGGGAGCTGAATGGGAAGTGGAGCAGCCAGGACAGGAACTGGCGCCCATACTGGAAGCTGGCGCTTGTAAGTATAGGATTAGCTTAAGAAGCCATTGTGCTGGCCCCTTTATTCGTTTTCCTTTTCTAAGACTTATTTATTTATTTGAAAGGTAGGGCAAATGAGAGAGAAGGTGAGACAAACAGAGGTATCTTTTCTCCACTGGTTTACTGCTCTGATGGCTGTAATGGCCATGCTGGATCAGACCCCAGCCAGGAGTCCCACCCAAGTCCCGTGTGGGTGAAGGGACCCATGTCAAGTACTTGAACATCACCAGCTAGCTTCTCAGGTGCATTACCAGGCAGCTGGATTGGTAATAGTTAGAACTCAGACTTCTACTCCAGTTTGGGATACCAGCATCACAAGCGGTGGTTTAGGACAGTGAGGTACAGTGCTGCTGCCTGGCTCATTCTGGACTCCAGTTTCCTAAAAATGCATAGCAGGGATAGTGGTGGTAATGGGTAAGATTATTAGGTTTCTACCATTCCTGTGAGGACTTTAGCCATTAGGCCACTGCTCAGGGCCCCAAAATAAAATTAAGCTTAAAAAGATTAAAAGTGATCCTTCAACTATTTCAAAGAAAGTATATATCCAAAACCAACCATTACATTTAAAAACTCAGCTCCTCCGGGCTTGGTGCTGTGGCCTAGTGGCTAAAGCCCTCGCCTTGAATGTGCCAGGATCCCATATGGGCTTCCCATCCAGCTCCCTGCTTGTGGCCTGGAGAAACAGTGGAGGATGGCCCAAAGCCTTGGGACCCTGCACTCACGTGGGCAACCTGGAAGAGGCTCCTGGCTTCAGATTGGTGCAGCACCAGCTGTTGTAATCACTTGGGGAATGAATGATCGGACAGGAGATCTTCCTCTCTGTCTCTCCTCCTCTCTATATATCTTACTTTGCAATAAAAATTAATCTTTAAAAAAAAAAGAATGAATGAGAAGAGGGGTCAGCACACAATACATTGATACTGATTCTTAAAAGCAACATATGATTATTTTCCCATCATTGGGTTCAGTACTTGTCAGATTATCAGCTAGGTTTCTTCACCACTGAAATTCAAAACTGAGTTTCCAGAGAAAACCATGAAGCAAATTTAAAAGTTGCTGAGTAATAGTTCCTCTGAGTAAGGAGTTGAGTGGCCAGAGGTTTATTTGCTTAGAGACGTTTATAACAGACCTCTAAAAAAAAAGAGCAAATCAAGTAGCATTTTGTTAAATAGTAGTAGGTAGGAATTTGTGTTTTGATCAATTCAAATTTGTTACAGAATTGGAGGACCATATGAGATAATCCCAATTTAATGAGAATTTACCTAGGTTTAAAGATAACAGTTAAGAACAATCTGGGAGGGAAAATTCTTTAATCCATAAGAATAAAGGATTTAGATTACATGATAAGAAGAAAAATTTCTGACAATGAAATATATTAAACTTTAAAGCAGGTTAACTTAAAGTGTTATAGGATTTTCCCCTCTGGGGGACTTTGGAGGTAGATTAGATGTGTCTCTGTGTGAGATGGCTTAGATCCAGATATGCCTGTGGTTAGGTGTGTGTACTAGCCCTCCTGAGCCTGTGCAGTCCAGCAGTCTGTAAAAGGTGTTGGCCCACCTCACACCAATGAGTCACAGCCTCCAGTGGGTAACAATTCTGCTTGTATTTTGTAATCTTTCTAGATAATCTAATGATTAGTTTAATTATCACACTGCCTAACAAGGCATTTACAGTTTTGTTTAGTAATGGGAATGGCTCATGCTCACTTATTTTTAATTATGCTTATGGAAGTTTAATTTACTCTTTTTAGTTCTGTTATTTATTTATTTTTTTAAGCAGCACAGCTGCTACTGCTGCTTCTACTTCTTGGTTTTTTTTTTTTTTAAAGATTTATTTATTTTTATTGGAAAGGCAGACATACAGAGAGGAGAAGAGACAGAGAAGAAGATCTTCCATCCAATGGTTGACTTCCCAAGTGAGCACAACGGCAGTAGCTGAGCCAATCCAAAGCTTGGAGCCAGGAGCTCCCCTGGGTCTCCCACAGGGGTACAGGGTCCCAAGGCTTTGGGTCGTCCTCAACTGCCTTCCCAGGCCACAAGCAGGGAACTGGCTGGGAAGCGGGGCCGCTGGGATTAGAATGGGCAACCATATGGGATCCTGGCATGTGCAAAGCGAAGACTTTAACCATTATGCTATCCTGCCAGGCCCATTCTTTTTGTTTTTTAAGATGTATTATTATTATTATTTTTATTTTTATTGGAAAGACAATTTACGGAGAAAAAGAGATACAGAGAGAAAGATCTTTTGTCCATTGGTTTACTCTCCAATGGCTGCAACGGCTAGAGCTGAGCCGGTCCGAAGCCAGGAGCCAGAAACATGTTCCGGGTCTCCCACGCAGAGTCCTAAAGCTTTGGGCCACCCTTAACTGCTTTCCCTAGCCACAAAAGGGAGCTGGATTTGAAATGGAGTATCTGGGATATGAACCGGTGCCCATATGGGATCCTGGTGGGTGTAAGGGAAGGACTTTAGCCACTCAGTTATCATACCAGGCTCCCTTTTTAGTTTCATGAGTTTTGACAAACACAGTTATTTGTCAAGAAGACCTGTTTATGTTTTCTTTGGGGAGAAAGAAATTTGACAGCAGGTTAGAAAAGATCTAAACATCGGTGAGTTTGGGGTAATTTTTCTGATGGGAATCAGGATCGTAATTTGCACATAACAGGCCTGGCTTTCCCCCTGAGCTCACTTTGTCCCCTCTAGTGTGTCCCCTTCCAGTCCTTTTGGGATTGTATTTGCTTGGTCACTGGTCTTCTGCAACAGTGAGGAAAGAGGAGGATCATACACAAGTCTAAGAAGGGAGATCTCCGTGTGGTTCATTTCATGTTGTTGCTTCACTAATAAAGCTTTCACAAGGGACCCCAATTATATCTAGTTATTACAGTGATAGGTTCTAGGTTTTTCATAATAATTTCATTTCGGAGTCAGTACTTGCATTCCTTTAAGTAAGGCAACATGCTTAGACTTTGGGTTAGGAAAATATGATCATTGTGATTTATAGCAGTAGGGAGAAAATTAGTTGGAAGGAAGCTACCCTTTAGGTATAACCTGTTTGGAGTGCTGAATGGGGGGTGTTTACAGAATTGGAGAATCACAGTGGACTGTACCCACATGATTCTTATCCTGAGTTAGCAGGAGAAAACTACTTCCTAGTTTGTGTGTGTGTGTGTGTGTGTGTGTGTGTGTGTTTTAGGTTTGTTTATTTTTATTAGAAAGGCAGAATCATATTTATAGAGAGAAGGAGAGAATGATCTTCTGTCTGCTGGTTCACTCCCCAAGTGGGTGCAAATGCTGGAGTTGAGCTGATCTGAAGCCAGGAGCTTCTTCCAGGTCTCCCATGTGGGTGCAGGAACCCAAGACTTTGGACCACCTTGTACTGCTTTCCCAGGCCGTAAGCAGGGAGCTGGATGGGAAGTGGAGCATCTAGGACACAAACTGGCACCCATATGGGATTGAAGCATTTAGAAGGTGAGAATTTAGCCATTGGGTCATCATGCAAGGCCCACTACTGCCTATTGAATGCCTTGTATGTATATATGCTTGGCACTTTGGTAAGGTGTTTTTCATAACAGCTGGTCAGCTAGAATTCTGTTACAGATTGAGCTGCCATTTAAAAACAAAACAAAAAACCCAGACAACAACAAAGACTCAAACCTAATGCTTCACAGGCCTAATTCATTAATACTTGTCCCAGCTGCCTTACTCTCAAGAAGACCCTGGCATTCTAATTAGGATAATTGAATCCCAGGGCTTTGAGGTCATCAAGTTAGAAGAGGTGGCAGCTGTTGTCTTCACTGCAGAGTTTGAGAATTGCCCATGCTCAGTGCTCGCAACAGGAGGTGCAAGAAAACAAAACAATACCATCAAAAACAAAAAACAAGCAAACTAAAAAGTCCAAACCAACACCCCTGTGTGAGGCAGTAATCTCGTTCAAGATAAGGGCGATGAAAAAAAAAAATGTGAGGCTTGAAATTACGTTCCAGATTGGAAGGGGCAATGGAAGAAATATGGCATTCTGGGCCCTTAAACAAGGTGTGTGTGTGTGGTGGGGGAGGGGGCAGGAAGAGAGTGATCTAGCAGAGATGTAAGGCTGAGGCCCTTGAATTTAGGTGAAGACTCACAAAAGGAATCCTGCTTGACACAGGCAATTCCTAAGCGCCTTCTCTTTCTTTTCTCTGTCACCAGCTCTAAAGTACAAGTCATCCTCAGTTCTCTTGCTTCTGCCTTTTTATTAAAAAGCCGGGAAACTCTCTTTTTCCATTTTGGAGGGATGGGAAAGGGGCTTGAAAGTGCCTTCACAATAGAAAGCAGGTAGGGATTTTCAAACGCCTGAGCAAAGGCAAATAGGACCGTCGTGGAGGGAAGGGAATATTTTTCACGCCCTCTCAAGGTCCCTTCGGTTCAAGGATACTGTCATTCTCCCGGCTGCACTAAGGGGAGGGCCTGCAACGTCCGAGCTGCCATGGAAACGCGCCGCCGTGTTCCCTTTTCTTGCGTGGGGCGGGGCACTCCGTCTCAGCCGCCTATCATCCGCAGGATTTCTTGAGTGGCACAGAGCCGCAGCGAATGGGCGATCCGATACCGCGTGACGCGACGGGAAAAGGGGGAGTTCGCGGCCGGTGGCGGCGGTGGCCACAGCGGCGACCTGGGGAGCGAGCTGGAGGGACCTGGGGAGCGTGCAGAGACCTCTAGCTCGAGCGCCAGGGATCTCCCACCGGGATGCCTGGTATTGCTTGGAGGAAGAGCGGGGAACGCAGTGGGCCGTGCAGGCTCGGGTTTGGGGTCTGAAGGGATGGCTGACCGGAGGGGGCGGGGTGGCAAGCATGGCGGCGGCGACGGGGAAGGGGTTGGAGGGCCCTGAGGAGGGGGTGGGGAAGCCGCAGCTGAGAAGGCTGGGTGGTCGTGGGGAAGCGTGAAGGGCTGTGGGGGTTCTGGCGCACAGAGGTTACAGAGCAGCCTTTTTTGGGGGACAATAGAGACGCCCAAAGGACGCATGGGGAGAGTTGTGGCGGGGATGGAAAAAGGGGCGGGGAGAGAAGAGGTTAGGAAGGAGGCGAAAGAGTGTCTACGGAAAGGTAGACGAGAAAAAGGGAGGGTAGGATAGGCAGGCTTACTGCAAACCGGCGTTTGGGAGCTAGGATAGGGACAGGTTGCAGCGATTGCTCATACAGTGTTGTAATCGGTGGAGACCTGCACAGGACCCCCTTTTTAGCTCCCCTACTTCCGCTCCATTGTTAGGCTCAGGCTGCGTGAGGAAGGCTAGCAGGTTACACAGAACTGATCTTTTGTTATTCTATTCCAGGGGAGCAGATGGACCCTACTGGAAGTCAGTTGGATTCGGATTTCTCTCAGCAAGATACTCCTTGTCTGATAATTGAAGATTCGCAGCCTGAAAGCCAGGTTCTAGAAGATGTTTCTGGTTCTCACTTCAGCATGCTGTCTAGACACCTTCCCAATCTCCAGACGCACAAAGAGAACCCTGTGTTGGTGAGTGATACCTTGTCTGAAACCGATTCAGCACTTTGTTAGGATTTTCCTAATTTAGACTGACCAGCAAATCGAAGTATTTTGAATGTCACCACGTTTTGCATCAAGTTACCTAGAAAAGAGAAACTGATCATCGTCTTTTTATGAAGTAAGTTTGCCTTCTTTTGTACTATTTCCTGTGTGTTGGGAATAATGCAGACCTGTGGTTTCTAGGATGTGGTGTCCAATCCTGAGCAAACAACTGGAGCAGAACCAGGAGACGGGACCGGTGGGTTCAGCGAATGTGTGAAAGAAGACAAAACTGCAGGTGAGGCTCTAGTGGCCTTTGCATTTTTAGGCACTGTTGTTTGAACCAGGTGGACTTAAACTTGGTTGCTGTGAACGTGGGGAGGAAGTACAGGATCTGGAGGATATCAACTTTTGATATCCTCAGGCAGTTGGTTGGGGTGGGAGTATCTTTATTTCTGAATCTTTATTAAAGTTTGGTAGTAAGTGCCTTCGTGCCAATGTCCAATTATTTTTCTTCCAGACCCTGCGGATTCTTCTCATTTGGACACGTATGATTCCATTAGTCAGGTCATTGAACAGTTACCTCAGCCCAACAGGACCAGCAGGTATACTCCTTTCTTGCGGAATTTATCCAGATTGATTAAGGGATCGGTATATGTTTATGGTATCTACCTTTTGAGTTTATCTTGTTTGTTAGGCCTATGTTGGATGTTTCACGTACAGTCTCATTTAACTGTATACTTAAGCAGCTATACAATGATGACCTTACTTTGTTTTATAGTGGAGGGAACTTGCACTTAATAATGCTAGTAAGTGACAGAGCTGGGCTTCAAATCTGGTCGTTCAGAATGCTTCCTTTTTGTTTTAACTATCTGGTGCTTCTCCATATTCCACTTTGATTCTGTTAAGGGGCAAGAACATAGACAATTTCAGGAGTCTTGGGGTGTTAAGGTATAAAATGGAGGCAGTTAGAGGAGAGTGGTAGGTTGACATGAGTTAGACTGTTGTATTATCTTAAAGATAAAGGCAAGGGTTGTATTGTGGTGTAGCAAGTTAAACTGCTGCCTGTGATGCATCTCAGGGTGGATCCAAGTTCCAGCTCTTCTGCCTTTGATCCAACTCTGTGCTAATGTGCCTGGGAAAGCCGGGGAGAATGACCCAAGTACCTGGTCCCTTCCTGTGAGGGAGACTTGGGTGAAGCTCCTGACTTTGACTTGCCTAGCCTTGGGCTGTCGAGGCCATTTGGGGAATGAACCAGGATATGAATTATCTCTTTCTCTGTCTTCATCCACTGTCTTTTTGTCTGTCAAATATATGCTTTACAATTTAAAAATTGGTTAATTAGAGAGAGAAATAAAGATAGAGTAGCTTTCGCCTGCTGGTTGACTCCCCAGATTTCAGGAACTGCAAGGCAGTCCAGGCTTTCCAGGTGGGTGGCAAGAGACCAGTTACTTGAACATTACTACTGCCTCCTGGGATAGGCATTAGTAGGAAGGTGGACTCTCAATGGAGATGGAAATTGAACCCAGGTACTCCAGTGTAGCATACAATTGCCTCAACTGCTAGTCTGAACACCTCATTTCTGAATGCCGGTTTTTTTGTTTGTTTGTGTTTGTTTTTTCTTTAATGTCTGTTTGCATCTAAGTTTTTTTTTTTGCCTCTAAATTATCAAACCTGGGGATTTAGAGCAATCTGCAAATTGGTTCACTCATTCTACTCCAAAAGATTGGTTTTATTAGGCCCATACAGGTGCCAAAGTAATTAGGATGCTTCAGAAGCTTTGTGAAAAAATGGAATGAAGATGATTCATTTTGGTGCAGATAAATTTTGAAATTGTTCATCTGAAAGAGATGCCAGAAGTTCATGGAAAAATGTTTTATGAAAGAAATTGTGTGAATTTCAGTTTTTTTAAAGAATTACTTTTATTTGAAAGATAGTCTCTCTCTGCAGTTGTATCAGAGTTTTCCATCTGCTGGTTCACTCCCCCGACGGCCACGACAGCTGGAGACTGGCAGGTCTGAAGCTAGGAGCCAGGAGCTTTTCCAAGTACCCATGTGGGTGCAAAAGCACGTGCACTGGTTTTCCTGGGCCGTTAGCAGGGAGTTGGATGGGATGGACCATGCAGGATGCCAGTGTTGCAGACACATGCTTTACCCACTGTGACACAATATTGGCCCCAAATTCCATTTTCCTTGAACTTATTTGAAGTACCCTGATACATTTCAGTTAATTGACAGAGTCTAAAAATGAAGGAATTTCTTAACTTGGGTTTGGCTTCTCTCAGTACTAGTTCTTAGAATCAGCTGGAGCTGTGGGTAGCTGCCAGCCTCCTAGGTGGCATGTGGATGTTGTGTTTTGCCAGAGTCTCTACAAACTCACTATTATATTGGGAGCTGTGGCCATGCGTTCCGTTATTTATCTTAGTGCTGTGCTTCTGTTCTTAGACTTGGCTCTTCCGCTCATGTTTTCTTTTCTTTTGTTATGGGAGCTCTTCAGAAACATGTGCCAGAGTTAGCTAGGCTTTTGTGGCTCAGTATCCTGAGGAACAAGTGGAAGCAGGAAAAATTCATATTCCTCATTGTGAACGAAACAGTGCTCTTTGCGTCCTTCCAGGTTACCTTTGCTCTTCTGCATCAGTTTTCCTTTCTCTTAGCACAGTGAACGGGCAGGATCCATGGCGTGCATTTCACAGTGGCTTTGTCATCGTGGAGCTTCTAATTTGACAGAAGAACTGTCTGTTAAACAGTTCATTACATGAGTAGCTAGCTAAAACTATAATCGTTACTAAGAGGAAAATTAAATATGTGTAGTCTAATCTTGGGAAGAGGAGAATGCTGTTTGAAGAATGCAATCTTAACACAGACTCAGCATAGTTGAAGGGCTGGGAGAAGTATGCAGTGAAAGAGGAGCAGCTTTTCAAAGGGCTTCCTGTGTGAAGGCTCTGCAACCAGAAAGAATGGAGGGTTGATTTCTGAAACAATAGAAGTTCTGCAGACCACACTTTCAAACAAGTACACAATTAAAAAAAATATTTATTTGAAAGGCAGAGTTACAGAGAGGGACACACATACACACACACACACACACACACACACACATGATTTGTTGGTTGACTTTGCAAATGACCACAGTGACTCTGGCTGGGGCAAGACAAAGGAGCCTGGATCTCCATCTGGGTCTCCCCTCTGAAAGACAGGCACCCAAGGATTTTTGTCATCTTCCCTTTCCAGGCACCTTAGCAGGGAGCTGGCTCAGAAAGCCAAGTGCTCCACTCCATTGCACCAAGCACTGGTCCCAGAAGGCACACATATTGATATATTGATCTCTTTATGTTATCTGTGTCTATAATGTTTTGTTAGAAGAAAAAAAAACCTTTATGGGAAAACATTCTTAGTTTGTTATAAAATTCCAAAAATTGTCCTACTTTTTCTGGTGTCCCATTGATGTGACTTAATGGTCCTGAGTGCAGAGTGTTCTAAAATAAAATGCTGAAGAAATAAAGATAATTTTTGTTTTTTCATGAAACATAAGTTTAAGATAATATTAGAGTCACATTATGTCATAAGAAATAATACAGAGGGGTAACGTTTTTTTTAAATTTTTTTAAAGATTTATTTATTTTTATTGGAAAGGTAGATATACAAAGAGGAAGAGAGACAGAGAGAAAGATCTTCCATCCAGTGATTCACTCCCCAAGTGAGCACAATGGCTGGTGCTGTGCCAATCCGAAGCCAGGAGCCAGGAACTTCCTCCAGGTCTCCCACTTGGGTGCAGGGTCCCAAGGCTTTGGGTCGTCCTCAACTGCTTTCCCAGGCCACAAGCAGGGAGCTGGATGGGAAGCAGGGCCACCGGGGTTAGAACCGGCGCCCATATGAGATCTCAGTGCGTGCGAGAGATGAGGACTTTAATCACTACGCTATTGCTCCGGGCACTATAACGTTTTGAAAAATGATAGTGTATTCTCATAGCCAGGATGTTGATTCTGAAAAAAAATTCACCAAATTTATTCAGATTTTATTTTATTTGTATACATGGGTATATTTATAGTTTATATAGTTTGTCAGCTGTGTAGGTTTGTGTATCTGCACTACATTCAAGATATTGAACAGTTAACATACCACAGGGATGCCTACCACTGCTGCTCTAGAGCCACAGGTACCTCACTCCTTCCACACCAGCAACCAGTAACCCATTCTGCACCTGTAAATATTTGTCATTTTAAAACGTTATGTGTGGACTGTAATCTTTTGGCTTTGGATGTTTTTTGAATCTTTTCTAGTCAATATAGTCAGTATAGCTCTTTGGATGTTTTTTAGTCAGGATAGATTAATCCAAGTTTTGGCATGTTTCAATACTTCTTCCATGGTCTTCCATGGTATAGGTATATCTTAGTTTGCTTTCCCTGTTCACCTATTGAAAGACATCTGGTAGTTTTCCAGGTTTTTGGCTATTCTGAACAAAGCTGCTAACATTTGTGTGTGGGTTTTTGTGTGATTGTAAACCCTCATTTCTTTGGGATAAATGCCCAGACCTATAATTGCTAGGTTATCTGGTGGTTGCATAGGTAGTTTCTTAGAGTGGTTATACCATTTTGTACTTCTACTAGTATTGTGGAATTTCTCTCTGTGCTTACTAACAGTAGGTGTTTTTGCTATATTTTATTTTCGGATGGTCTGAACTTCTGTTTGTTTGTTTTATGCCTATGCTCTTTTTTTTAAGATTTATTTATTTTTATTGGAAAGTCAGGTATACAGAGAGCAAGAGCTTCTGTCTGGTGATTTACTCCCCAAGCAGCTACAACAGCTGGAGCTGCGCCAGTATGAAGCCAGGAGCCCAGATACTCTTCTGGGTCTCCCATGTGGGTGCAGGGTCCCAAGGCTTTGGGGCATCCTCGACTGCTTTCCCAGGCCACAAGTAGGGAGCTGGATGGGAAACAGGGCCTGGGATTAGAACTGGCAGCCATATAGGATCCTGGCGTGTTCTAGCCGCTAGGCTACCCGTGCCCGCCTGTGCTTTTTTAAGTTAGCAGTTCTGATGAGTGTGTGGTGATAACTCTTGTGGTTCTTGTTTGTGTTTTCCCAGTGGCTAATGCTGTTGAGCATCTTCTTGTGTGCTTATTTGCCATCTGTCATTCTTTTCAGGGGAATGTCTGTGAATGCTTTTTGCTCATTTTCTAATTGGGTTGTTAATTTTTCTTACTGCTGTGTTTTAAGGGTTTTCTTTAGACCTTTTAAGGGTGGGACACTTTTTTTCTATCAAGAGCCATTAAGATATTTATAACATCATTACTGGCCATAAAAAGTATTAGCTTGAAAATTAGCCTGCTGTAGTCTGCTACAGATTTATTGACCTTCCAGTCTTCCTGTGGTTGCCTGGACAGGGACAGACTAAGTGATTTCATGGGCATTATATTGGCCTATAGGCAAGACGTTTACATTTTGTAGGATATGTGCTTTGCTGCCACTCTGTATTTTGTCTTTTCATTCTTTTCTTTTTTAAAAATTTATTTATTATTTTTATTTCAAAGGCAGATATACAGAGAGGAGGAGAGACAGAGAGGAAAGATCTTCTGTCCGATGGTTCATTCCCCAAGTGGCCACAATGG